GTGGTCCTACAGCCACCCTTCACCGAGTGCTCTCTTGTCCCCTCAGGGCCTGCCCATCTCCATGTACGGCGGCACCCTGATCCCCTCGCACCCCCAGCTGGCAGATGGCCCAGGAGGGCCCCTCTTTAACGGGCTCCATACTCCAGATCCCGCCTGGAATCCCATGATCAAAGTTGTCCAGAACTCAACAGAATGTACTGATGCTCAGCAGGTAGTGTGGCTGCCTTTTCCCACCTGTGCTTACCCTGGGCTTTATATGGTGGTGTGATACCCGTTTTTGGATTGGTGGCATGTTTGGTTTTTTTCAGTTCTTTGAAACTAGAATTGAGGTTGTTTGCATGGCTTTTCCCTACTCTGTGTGTGTGTGTGTGTGTGTGTTCATAAAATACCCATGGAGCTGTCAGTACCAAACCTTCCAGGTAAAACAAGCAGCATTTCGAGACTGCTCAGCCAGGTACTGGACTGTTACACGTGAGAGGGTTTATATCTGTGCTCAGCACCTTGCAGGTTGTCAGTCAGACCTTGGCTGGAGCTGGAGAGCTCCTGCCTTTGGACAGTCTGGTTGTATTTTGGGGGAAGCCTTACGCTCGCCCTCAGTGGTTAAACACTGTTAAAGGAACCTTTATTTGTTTTCATAATAGATTTGTCTTTTTATTTCTCGCTGTAGATTTGGCCTGGCACCTGGGCACCTCACATTGGAAACATGCATCTCAAGTACGTCAACTGATTTAAGGGGGTCTTGTCCTTGTTTTAGCCTGGTTTGGGAATCTTTATGACCTTGAAGAACCCTGGGGATTTTTTTCATGTGCCTAAGTGATTTTCTGTGGGCTGTAACAATGGAAACTTGATTGCCCGTTGTATAACAACAAACTGACTTTCCTATACAAATTGATTCTGTTCTCTGGTTAGTTTAGCCACTTTAAACTTAAAAAAAAATCAGACAAAACTAGTGCTTTTGGCTAAACACTACTGACTGCTCCTTGTACGCAGCAGAGAACTAGCTGATGACACGATTTCAACCTTTTAGGGTGGTAAATACCTGTATAATTGTTTACAGACTTAAAAGGAAAAGCTGAGTAAATTTCATGTCGTATAGTGGCTCTACTTTATGTAGCCTGTATTAATGTGAAATATTTACCTGAATACTCAATAAAAGGAAAACAGCATCTATAGGTTGTGTGTGAGAATTTGGGAAAGGGCTGGATGTTGTTTTCTCGGTAGCTACTCTGTGCCTGGTGACACATCCCAGGGCCACATTCCGAGCAGGTGGGTGCAGCCAGGATTTGGGAGGGTTTGGAGCCGCAGGTGTCTGTGATTGATGTCTGCAGAGCCCTTCCCCTTGCCAGTTGTGAGCCTTTTATTGGTGTGAACCTGCTTCTATGTTACCTTTTTGTCCTCCTGGATTAGTTCTGCTGCTTTGAGCACTCCTTTTGCAGGTGGGTCCCCCAAGAGATGAGGTTTTGCTCAGGGCTGCAAGGGCTGACAGCAGTGGTAGGGAAATGCAGGGTTCCTTCATGAGCTGCCCAGAAGCAGATCTTGGGAACTAAGTGCTTCCCTCTGGAGGAAAACCTAATAGATTCAATTCTAAGCTTCTTGTAATGCTTTAAATCTGGTAAGAGCTCCTCAAGTCTTTTCTGTGAAGAAGAGGAGGATTTTCGCACTCTGCTTAAGAAGAACATTAATTCCTGACCCAGTTCCCCACTTTCTGCACTTGGACTGTGCTTATTTCTGCTTTTGCTCCAAGGCTGTGCAGTAACCACATGGAATGTTGGGTCCATTCCTTAAGCAGGGAACTACAGTGCATGTAATGTCTAATCTAAAGGACTACCCTCACTGGTGGAAACTTCACCTTTCCCCACCTTATCCAGACAAATCCTTACATGCAGCAGCAGAATTTCCCCAGGAAAAGCATGAGGAAAAGTACTTAAAAACCACAGTGCACAAGCAGTATCTGAGTACCCCAGGCAGATCAACCTCAGAAGCACTACTGGATTGTATATTCAGATATTTTTCCTGGTATTTGAGGAGGAATGCAAAATAAATTGGAAGTGCTGCTGCCCCACTGATAGTACATACACCTAAGGAGAAACACATTAGAATCAGTCAGAGAAGGGTTTGGGTTTGAAGAGACCTTAAAGATCAGCCACATGGCTTAACAGCAGTTGTATTGAAAACAAGTGGTGTTGTGGTGCAGGGTGAGGTGCAGGAGAGGGGTGGGGGGCTGACTTTCCTGGGCTCCCTGGCTGCAGCAAAGCATTGCCATGTCCTGCCCCATCCCAGGGAGCCACTGTCTCCCCAGCCCAGAGGGCTGCAGCTCCAGGGTGACACAGTCTCCTCCATCGCACTGCAGGACAAGACCCAGCATGGGGATGGGGCTGTCCCTGGAATGCCCTGGGCCACCCCAGCCCTGCCTCATGTGGGCAGCTCTCTCCCTTGCTGGGCTCTCCCTGTGCAGCTCTGTCCTTGGGAACACGGGCATCTGCTGTGGACACTGGATCCAGGCAGGCCCATGGGGTGGTGGCAGCCCAGAGCTGAAGTGGAAAAGGGAACCCCGAAGTTTTGTAGGAAGATCCTGCTTGAAGTTCAGGCCATCTTTGCCCTGTGGTTGCAGGGGGGCACAGGCAGAGGCAGGGGCTGGGGAGTGAGCTGGTGGCAGTGCCACTTTGCTGGTGGGTGCAGGGCTGGTCCCTTGGGGCTGGCTGGCTCAGGGGGAGGCACAGGGGCTAACATGAGAACCTGCTCCCACCTGAGTTCAGCAGCCCCAGGTGGCAGAGCCCTCCCCTGCCTTCCTGCCCCCTTCTGACCCCCCACCAAAGCTGGGGGTCAGCTGTTGAGCAGTTCCTTTTCTTTGCTGTCTGTCCTCAGGGAAGTGTGTGAGCTGGGCATGTTTGGGTTGAGCCACAGCTGCCCACCCTGTGGGCCCTGGCTCCATCACGTGCCTTCGATTAAGCTGCTCTGCCGTGGAGGAGCCCAGGCCGGTGCTGTGGGGCCATGGCAGGCATAGGCTGTGTAACGTGTTTGTGGTGCCAAGCAGGAGCTCTGGGCTCCCTGGCACCTCAGGCAGCAGCTCCAGGCTCCCTGGCACCCTGGGCTGCACCTCTGCCAGAGCCTGGCAGGGAGCTGGTGCTCGGCTGCAGGGATGGCCGGGCAGGGGACAGCAGGGCAGCAGATGTGGCACATGGGCCAGCAACGCCTTGCCAGGCATTGCTGGCAGGCAGTTGGGATGGGGGGGGAGGTAGTGTGGGCCCCAGGTGGGCACTGCACACCTGGCAGGCTGGAGGAGGAGGTGTCCCATCAAACCCAGCTGCTGCCCTTGTGCAGGGGGTAGCAGGGGGCTGGATGAGCTGATGGGAGGGTCCCCAGGGTACCCCTGTGGGACACCCAGCCTTTGCTGCTCAGCCTTGGGCACGGAGCTGCAGCTGCCTGGCCTCTGGGTTTGGGCTGAGCTGTGTGCCCCAGGCTGGCCCTGCCCTCCAGGGATGGCCAGACCTGTGGAGGTTGGACCCCCTGTGCTGAGCCCTACAGAGCTTCAGGAGCCTCAAGGGCAGGAACAATGTGGGCAAGAGCTGCCAGGCAGGACGGGTGTCACGGGCTGCCCTGTGGGAAGCACCGTGGTGGCTCCAGAGCCAGATGTGTCCCTAAGCCATGGCCGAGCTCTGGGTCCCACCCCCTGCTCTGGGCTGTGGTGCTCAGGGCAGGGGGTGGCCGTGGCCAGCAGTGCCTGACAGCCCCTGCTTTTGGCAGGTACCCGCATCATCTGCGACCGCAAGTTCCTGCTGGAGTGCAAGAATTCACCCGCGGCCAGGACCCCTCCCTGCTGCCTGCCCCAGACCCCCGGTGTCACATCCCTGGCCCAGTCCAGCCTCGTCAAGCTGGAGGAGCTCAAGGAGCGGAATGAGAGCAAAGAGGCCATGCCAGGTGAGCAGCCCAGGCACGTGGCACCCACCCGTGGACCACCTGCCTGGGGCACGGGGCTCCTGCCTGGCCACAGGGGCCAGGGAGAACCCAGCCCAGACCCAGTTCCAGCTCCTGACCCCTCGGCCTGCATGTGTCTTCCAAGGCAGCCCCATCCTAACCCTGGCCCTGTATCCCTCCATGCCCTTTGCAGATCAAGACCAGTTTGAGATGGACATCTGAGTTTGCAGCTCCCCGTCTCCAGGCCATGGCTGGGCCTGTTCCTGGGCCTCGTGGAGGTGCTGGCACCGTGACCAGCTGGCTGCAGCCCTCTCTGATGCTGGGGATGGACGTGTGACACCTCAGGCTCTAGCACAAGTGGCTGGTGCAATTGCCTAGGAGCTCATGCTTGATCAATAAACACCGTGAAACCCCTGTGCTGACCTGGTGTGTGTCTGTCGGGGCTCAGTGGGGTCCTCACACCCCCAGGGAGGGGGCTGAGCAGCACCAGGAGGGTGCAGAGGACACTGCAGGCAGGGGTGGTGGAGGCCTGGGGCTCTGTTCCCAGCTGTGGTGAGGGGGCAGCTGGTGAGTGCGAGTGGGAACAGCACAGTCAACACCTAACTGTGGGCATGTGTTTGTCCCTGGACCTCCCTGTCCCAGAGGCCACACCTCTTGGGTCCCAAACTCGAGTCTGAACTGTGCCAGGAGGGCAGGAGCCCAGATGGGAGCAGGGGCTGTGGCTGCAGCACAAACCCTGGCCATGCCGACCTGCTGGGGACTGCTGGCACATTGCCCTCCCCAGCCAGCCTGGACCTCTCCTGCAGCAGAGCTGGGGCTGCTGTAGGCACCCCATGGCCAAAGGTGAGGCCAGGAGGGCCAGGCTTTGCCAGCCCGTACAGCAGTGACACAGAGCACTGCCTGCTCCAGCCAGGTGCTGCTGCTTTCTTCCCTTCACATCCTGCTGGCTGGGAGCACCCTGCCAAGGCTGCAGCCCCTTGGCCAAGCCTGACAAAGCAGCCATGGCCTCACCCAGCAATCCTGCCTCCCACTACCCCTGGGAGCCCCAGGACCTGCCGGTGCCAGAACCCTCAGGCAGACTGTGGCCGGGGGCAGGTTGGTGTTGTTTATTAAACATAATGAATCGCCACTAAAATGTCGCAATGATTAAAATCCCCTGTTCCTGGATGAGGATTGGGAGGCAGAGGGGGTGCCCCGACTCCCTCTGGCAGCAGGGGCCCTGCTCCTGCCGGCAGCCCTGGGCAGGGGCTGCCCCGCTCACAGTCCACAGCCCCGGCCCCGCCTTCAGGGCTCCTCCTGGCCCGGCTCGGTCTCGGTCTTAGGCTCGGTGTCAGGCTCGGTCTCGGCGCTGCCGTCGGTCGCTGTGTCGGGCAGGTTCCGTGTCTCGGCGATGAGGCGCTTGACGCCCACCATCCACTGGCTCACCTCGTTCACGTGGTCCACCATGAGCGAGCGGTGGATCTCGTCAGCCGCGTCCCAGTGCTGCTGCTGGAGCTCTGCCAGGACAAGGGAACCTGTCAGGGGGTGCAGGACCCACCTTCCCACGGGTGCCCCCGACGCAGGGCCCGCCGCTGGCCCGGCTGCAGCCCCCTCGCCCCGTACCTTCCACCAGGAGGCTCATCCTCTTCCTCACCGGTGCTGACAGCTTCCCCTGAGCCCACGCGTCCTCCAGCACTGTCAGCCGCCGCCCGATGTCATTGCACACTTGTTTCTGGAAGCAGAGGTGAGCTGGGAGCCGGGGGATCTGCCCCCACCAGCTCTGGGCAGCGCCCGGGGCAGGGGCGGCTCTCCCCGCCCCTCAGGTGTCCCGGGGACGGGCAGTCCCCGCACCGCGGGGCCCGAGGCGGCGGGAGGGGCCCGGGCTCACCTGCACCGAGGGCCGGCAGGAGTCCAGGGCCGCCCGCAGCGGGGCGAGCACGGTGTCGGCGGACACGCTGCACTCCCGCTCCTCCGGGCACGGCCGCGCCTCGGCCCGCGGGGCAGCGCCCACGGGCCCCAGCGGGGGCGGCCCCAGCGCCCGGGGGGGCGGCGCGGAGGGGTCCGCGGGGGCACTGCCCGGGGCCGGGGGGCACCTGCGGGGCAGAGGCGGCGGCGCGGAGCCCGTCAGCCCGGCCCGGGGCCCCGCACGCCGGGTCCAAGCGGGGAGCGGCCCCCGGGGCTCCGGGCGGGGCCGAGGGGCGGGCGGGGGCTCGGGCGGTGCTGACCTGGGGTGTCCCCTCGGGCGGGGGCCCGGCGGGTGAGCGGTGTCCGGCGGGAGCCCCCGGCCTGCGCCTGCAGCCCGTACGAGAACTGGGGGGGGTCGTTCCAGCCGCGCTCCTGGTTCCCTGAGGCGGCGAAGGAGCGCGGTGAGACCGCGGGGGGAGGACACCGAGGGGGACCCCCCACCCCGGCACGGCTCCTCCCGGCTCTCCCCACCCCCGGCACGGCCCCGGCACCTCCCCGCGCACGGACACCCTTCCCAAGGGGCCGGTCCCGCCGGGCCGGTCCCCGCCCCGGGCAGACCCACAGCGTCCCGGTGCCCCCGGGCCCCGCCGGTGCCCCCGTGCCGGAAGCGCCCCGCGCCCCCTCACCCGGTCTCACGTAGGGCTCCGCCATCCCGCCACGTCACGGCCGGGCCGGCCCCTTCCGCCCGCCGGGGGAGGGCGGGGAGGGAGGGGCCGGGCGAGTCCCCGCCCCGCCGGGCCGGGACCGGGGTCGGTGCCGGGGTCGGGGCTCTCCCCCGGCGGCTCCAGCCCCGGCCCCGGCCCGGCCCGCTACGGGCTGTGCAGGAGGGTCCGCCGGAGGCGGAAAACCTCCAGGAAGGAGAAGAGGCCCCTCTTGCGGGCCCCGGCACCCGCTCCGCCGCCGCCCCCCCCCGCCTTGGCCGCCCCGCGGGCTCCGTCCCCCGCGGCCGCCGGTCCGGCCCGGCCCCGGCCCGGCCCGCTCTTCGCCTTCGCCCCCGGCGCGGCGGCCACGAGGCACTTCTGGTACTGCACCTGCGGGGGACAGGGCGGGCAGCGCGGGGGGCTCCGCACCGGGGCCGCCCCCGCCCGCCGCCCGGGGCTCACCATGCAGGCGGCCTGCACCGCCTCCGAGATGGTGCCCGCGTCGGGCTCGCACCAGAAGGCCGCGCACTGGAAGCGTCGCCCCGTGTCCACGATGAGCGCGAAGGTGTGCGCGTCCCGGCCCACCCCCAGGAAGGTCACGTACCGCACCTGGCACTCCCAGATGTTCGCCGCCTCCTCGGGCTCCTGCGGGCACCCCGCGGGCCCGTCCAGCCTTGGCCGCCCCCCGGGCCCGCCCCGCCGGGGGCACCCCGGCCGGAGCCCCCCGTGCCCTCCAACCTGCGCCGGCTGAACCCTCATGGCCGTGTCCGACACGTAGATGAGGGAGGGCGTCCAGCTCTCCCGCCCGGGCCGCCTCGTCAGCTTCTCGATGGCCTCGTTCAACACGTCCATCCCTGCGGAGCGGGACACCCCGTCCCACCCCGTCCCACCGGCCCCGGGACGCGGCTGCTCGGCCGCCCCGCGGAGCACCGAGGGGCTTTGCTGCTCGTCCCCCAGCTGCGGGGGTGGGGGGCAGCGGTGCTTACCCATGGCCCTGGGCACGGGCAGGCTGCCGATGTACAGCGCCTCGTAGGTCTGCATCGACTGCCTCACCGCCTCCAGGATGTCCACTGCCAGCACGGGAGAGGTGGGGGTACCCCTGTGTCCCCCATCCCCCAGGACCCCGGGCTCTGGCTGCTGGACAGCCCCGCTGCCCGAGGGCGGGCTGTGGGCAGGGGGAGCACTGGGGGACGGTACCTTGCAGTGGCAGGTCCTCGGTGGAGATGGGCTCCAGCGTGGCAGCGCGGGGCAGGCGGCTGCTGGCCACGGCTCGCTCAGCCACGATCTGCAACAGATGGGGGTCCCGGTGCCTTCCCTCACCTCCAAGACTCCTGGGCTGTGCTCACACCCAGCAGGGCCCCTGTGAATCCCACCTTGGAGCACATTTCATGCAGGGCCTTGGCGATGCCCTTGGCGGGCACGTTGCAGTGGAAGACGTGACACTTGAGGACGCAGGTGTCCTTGTCACTGGCCACGAAGGCAAAGTCTCTGCAAGGCCATGAGCAAACCAGTGAGACCCTGACAGAGCCCCTTCCCGGCACTGCCCCCCAGCCCTGTGCCCACTTACCTGTCCCTGCAGCCACGGTGGCAGTCGGGGAGGGAGGAGAGGGGACAGGTCACTGCTGGGGTGCCTTCCCCCCAAGCGGGCAGAGCCACCCCCAGCCCCCAGCTCTGCCCTGGCCCCAGCACCTGCCATTGTTGCAGCCAACGCCCCAGACACGGATGTTGAGGATGGGCTGGCGGTGGATGAGGCTGCGGTCGAGGGGGTCCACCAGGCTCATGGTGTCCTTCTTCAGGATCATCACCAGGTCCTGGCCCTGTGGAGGGGCAGCGGCTCCCTCAGCCTGGCAGACAGCCTGGGCTTCCCCAGAACCCAGTCCACATGTAGGGACACCCCTGTCCTCCCAGCCTACTCAGCCCCAAGTGTGGGAACAGCCCTGATTCCCACCCCTGCCCTTCCCAGATGCAATTCCCACGTGTGGGGACCCACCAGGCACTCCTGGCACTGTCCCCAGGAAACAGCCCTGCCAGACCTACCTGCCCCACACCTGGAACCATCACATGGATACCCTGGGTGGAGGGTAGATTCTGCCACTGGCACTGGTCCCTGCTCCCCCCAGCACGATCCAGCCTCGGCAGTGGGACCCTGCCTGGCAGCCCCGTCCCAGGCTCTCACCTCACCCCGGTTCTCCGCAGAGCCCTGGCCCTTGCTGTTGGAGAGCTGCTGGATGCAGTTGTTGACGGCGATGCTGCTCTTGCCCGGTGCCAGGTCCTCCTCGGGGATCTCCACCCAGCCCAGCGAGCGCACGGCAAAGCACTGAGCAGAGACACGCTGGGGCTCCAGTGCCCGCTGGCACAGCCACCTCTGCCCTGCGCCCCTCACCGTGCCAGCGGGATCACCCCTGCTCTGGCTCCCACCCATCCACGTCCCTGCCAGCTGCCACCCGCTTCCTCTCCTGCCAGCCCCTGCCCACGCTGCGGCAGCGGAGCCGGCGGGATGCAGTACCTTGGAGCCGGGCTCTGCGCTGTGCTGGATGTCCTCTCCATGCCAGGACAGTGAGGGCCTGCAGAGGGACAGAGCAGTGGGTGGCATCTCCCTCTGCGGGGTCCCTGGGGCACCCAGGGAAGTGCCAGGGATGCCCTGGCACCACCATACCCCCATGCCACCAGCTGGGAAGCATCCCATGGGGGTGGTCCTGCTGGTTCCAGCATGGGGGGCTGCTCTGCAAGCACCCAGTGGTAGTGAAGGATCAGTCGTGCCCCATAAACAAGGCAGCAGAGCACCAGGGTAGCCCTACCTCCGGGTCAGCGAAGCCATGGGGCTGGGAATGGGCCTGTCCTTTGCCGAGTGCTTCACTCCGGGGGCCTGGCATTCCTGGGAGACAAGAGGAAAGGGAGGGCAACAAGACAGGCTGTCAGGAGGCACCAGGTAGGAGCCCTCGCTCCCAGGACAGCAATGGGCCTGTGGGGATCCAGCGGGGCCAGAGTGAGGCCAAAACTACCATGGGACCTGATGGAGCTTTTCAGGGGGCCTAACCCTGGCCAGGAATGGGCTGAGCAAGACTTTGGGGTGACAGAGACAGGCTTGCTCCGAGGGGAGGCTGGCCCAGAGGGCCCTTCAGCAGGCTCCTGCCGGGGGTGGGGTGCAACACAAGCCACCACCCCCTGTACCCACATCCCCTACCCTTCCCTGTAGCGTCTCCTCTCCGTCAGCCTCCGGGTGCCCTCCTGGGCCGGTGGTGCGTGCAGGGTGCTGCCATTGCGTCGTGCCCGTTGGCACATGCCAGTAGTAGGTGCCCAGAGAGTCACAGATTTTCCTCCAGCCTGGGGGGAGGTCGGGGTCTGTCTCCAGGCTCTGGTCGCTCCAGAGATTGTCTGTGCAGAGACAGACAGAGCATGTGAGGCAGGGAGTGGGGAGGGAAGGTACCCCAGCTGCGGGATGCTTTACCCAGCAGCGAAAGGGTGCTGCGGTGGCCCCTGGGTGCGTGGCTGGGCTCACGGCCCGGGAGAGGAGCGTGGCGAGGGAACATGGCACAGCGCCAGCCAGGCTGCGGTGCTGGCAGACCCCGCTGCGGGGACCTGCCTGGCTGACGTGCGGGGACAGCGGGACCCCGGCGGGGCATTCCGGGCCTGCCGGGCCGGTCATCCCGCGGGGCTTCGGGGCAGGGCCCGCGGCCGCCAGCCCAGCCCAGGAAAGGGCCGGCACAGACCCCGGGGTGCGGGCCGAGGGTGGTGCCCCGGGGGCTGCAGCCGCCTCCCCCGAGCCCCGCGCGGGCACGGACACGATCCCGTGGCGCAGCTCGGCCGGAGCGAGCCTGGGCCCGCGGGGGAGGCGCGTCCCGACCGGCCGGGGTCCCAGGGGATGGGGGGTCCCGGGGTGGGAGGTCCCGGGGATGGGAGGTCCCAGGGGTGGGAGGGGGTGCTCCGGGGTGAGAGGGGTGCAGGAGGGCGGAGGTGCCCAGGGGATGGGGTGGGGGGGTTCCCGCGACCTTGGCGGGGCTGGGCGGGCCCCGATCAGCACCGCGGACAGCGCCGGGCGCGGCCGCCGCTCCGACCCGCAGGACCCACCCGGCCCCGGCCCCGAAACCCCCAGCCCCGCCCCGCAACTCAGCGCCGGCCCCGCAAGCCGGCACCGATCCCGCAGCGCGGTCCCCCAGCTGCTCCGCGGCCCCAGACGCGGGGCTGGTGCCGCGGGCTGTGCCCCCGCCCGTGCCCGCCCTGCCCCGCGCTGACCGTCGCAGTTGACCAGGACGATGGCCAGCATGTAGTCCTTGCCCAGCATGGCCCCGCCGCCGCCTGCCCAGGCCCGGACCCGCGGCGGCTGCGGCGGCAGAGGCGGGACCGGGGCGGGACCGGGGCGGGGGCTGAGAGGGACGGGGGAGGGGGCGCGGGGGGTTCGACAGGGCGAGATAGGGAAGGTGCGGGCGTGTCCGGGGCCTTTCGGGTGTGTCGGGGCAGAAAAAGAGACGCTGGGGAGAGAAGGGGCTTTTGGGGCTGGAAAGGAGGTTCCTGAGTGCGGCAGCGGGGCCGAGTCAACCCCTTGTGCCCTCATGTTCCTCCCATTCCCTCCACCCGCTCTTAGGGTTCCTCCATTCCCCTCCCTGACCCCACAGATCACCCTTATCCCACGTTTTTTCCCCTCCATGCATGCCCAGGTCTGCCCATTCCCCTCCACCTGTGCTCAGCCTCCAGCACTCAGTGCTGAAGGCACCCAAATGTCCATGCTGGTCACCTCCCCCTTCTCACCAGGGGCCAAGAGCTTTGCATCTCCAGTTTGAGACTTTTTTCCAAGCTACCCTGAGCAGACAATCCTGGATAATGTTCAGTCCCAGGGACAGAAGCTCTGGAGACATTCACTGTACCCCCCAATTCCCCCACAGAGCCCCTCATGTGCTGCTAGGGGCAAAGTCCTTCCAAGCTACAGGTGCCTGATGAAATATTCCAAGATGGATTGCTCTATGTGGCTTGTCCTGTCAGTCCATCGTGGCCTCTTAATCTTTCCTTCTTCAG